TATGGTAACACGAGTCCGCAATGTAATCTTTCAAGGGATCACCAGATTGTTTTTTACAGCAGTTGCCCCACTTACATTCCCACCAGCAATATATCAGGGTGTCAATTTCTCCACATCCTCACCAACATTTGTTATTGATTACTGCCTCCCTAGTGGGTGCAAAGTGGTATCTCTTTGCGGCTTTGATTTGCATTTCCCTAATGACTAACGATGTTGAGCAACTTTTCATGTATTTACTGGACTTTTTTTTTTTTTTTTTGACACAGTGTCACTGTCTTGCCCAGATTGGAGTGCGGTAACACAATGATAGCTCACTGCAGCCTCAAAACTCCTGGGCTCAAGCAATTCTCCCACCTCAGCCTGCCTCCCAAGTAGCTGGGACTACAGGTGTGCACCACCAACCCTGGCTAATTTTTTTTTTGTTTTTTTTTAAGTAGAGACAAGTTATGTTGCTATGGGCTATGTTGCCCAGACTGGTCTTAAACTCCTGGCCTCAAGCGATCCTCCTGCCTCGGCCTCACAAAGTGCCGAGATCACAGCCGTGAGATACCGCCCCCGGTCACACTCATTGGCCATTTTTATATCTTCTGTCTCTATTCTAAATGTCCGCTCAGTTTCTTTGGCCATTTTTTAATTGGTTTATTTGTCTTTTTATTATTGAGTTGTAGGAATCATGGTAGATATTGAGCAAAAAGCTGATTGGAGCTGTGTTTGCCCAGAGGCAAAGTCTTATTTGCAAAGTCCCTGAAGTTTGGCCCCGGGCACAAAGCTCTGTCCTGCTGGCCTCATCTCAGTGCAGCCCTGCCCAGCAGGTCCACCTCCCCCAGGCTCAGGGACAAGCCCCAAACCCAAGCAACTCAGGACCACTCTCCTCTCACAGATGAGGAAACTGAGGCTCAAGGTGGTAAAAGGACTGGCTTAAGCTCTGGTGACCCAGGAGAGCAAAGCCAGACTCAAGTTCAGATCTATCCTTTCTCTGCACAATTTCTCTGCACGTGTACATGCACTGCCTGGCTGTTTTCTTCTTTTATAGCGCACTTAACATCACCTCTATTCTCACCATAACCCTGGAAGTGAGTCATGCAGACACCATTTCCCTCATTTTATAGAGGAGGAAACTGAGGCTAAGAGAGGCGACATGACGTTCACCAGCCTCAAGGCCAGGAGGAGTAGGGGTCATGGTACCCAATCCAGGCACAACTGGCAGTGCAGTGGGGACCACTCTGGGCCTCAGCCCCAGGTCTAAGCCCAGTCACATCACCTGGAGGGTCCACTTTGCCTCTGGCCCAGAGCCACCCCCACTCACCAGGAAACCGTAGCAGCCAGTAGTCCACTGGAAGACCTGGGCTACATGAACTTCCTCTAGAACAGCTCCACCCAGCACCAGCTGGGCCCTCTGGACTGGCACTCCCAGATCTGCCCAGGCCCTGCCCAACAGGCCCAGCCCAAGACCTTTGCTCCTGAAAGAAGTAGGACCCTGGTTTCCATGAGCCCCTGATACTGTTTCTTACTCTTCTTCTTTTTTTTATTTTTTTGAGATGGAGCCTCACCCTGTCACCCAGGCTGGAGTGCAGTGGTGCGATCTCAGCTCACTGCAACCACCGCCTCCCAAGTTCAAGCGATTCTCCTGCCTCAGCCTCCAGAGTAGCTGGTACTACAGGCATGTACCACCACGCCCGACTAATTTCTGGTTTTTTTGGGGGGTTTTTTTGTTTTTTTTGTTTTTTTGAGACGGAGTCTCACTCTGGCACGCAGGCTGGAGTGCAGTGGCACGATCTCGGCTCACTGCAAGCTCCGCCTCCTGGGTTCACGCCATTCTCCTGCCTCAGCCTCCCGAATAGCTGGGAATACAGGCGCCCGCCACCATATCCGGCTAATTTTTTTTGTATTTTTAGTAGTGACGGGGTTTCACCATGTTGGCCAGGCTGGTCTTGAACTCCTGACCTCAGGTGATCCCCCCCACCTCGGCCTCCCAAAGTGCTGGGATTACAGACATGAGCCACCACACCCAGCCATGTTTCTTGCTCTTCTATCACTCCAAGGCTTGGACGTTTACAGAAGAGGGCACAGGCTGCACACCTGTGATTTGAGATATGGAGGCAACCCCGAAAAACCCCAAGGCCCAGCTCAGTGGGTCTCTCTTCTCTCTGGAAGAGCCCTTGACTCCTACAAGATGACCAAGCCCCCTTGGCTCAGCACAGTAGCACCCCTTTATCAGTCATTTATGCCAGTAGGAAAGCCTGGGTAGGTAACGTTGTAGGAACATGAGAAAGTCTTCCCTTCACTCAAGTCACTCAATCGACTCTCTCTTCAGTACCCAACGCCATTCTAGGCAATGGGAATGCAGCAGTGAATAAAACCAGCAAAATTCTTGAGTTTTCTGGGACACTATAGATGTCCCAATGGAGTTGACATACTGGAACAGAAAGAAACAATTTAAAAACAGGCTGGGCGCAGTGGTTCACACCTGTAATCCCAGCACTTTGGGAGGCCGAGGCAGGCAGATCATGAGGTCAGGAGTTCGAGACCACCTGGCCAATATGGTGAAACCTTGTCTCTACTAAAAATACAAAAATTAGCTGGGCGTGGTGGCACATGCCCATAGTCTCAGCTACTCAGGAGGCTGAGGCAGAAGAATTGCTTGAACCCAGGAGGTGGAGGTTGCAGGGAGCTGAGATCGCACTCCAGCCTGCACTCCAGCCTGGTTGACAGAGCGAGATTCTGTCTAAAAAAAAAAAAAAAAAAGGCTGGGTGTGGTGGCTCACACCTGTAATCCTAGCACTTCGGGATGCCAAGGTGGGGGGATCGCTTGAGACCAGGAGTTCAAGGCCCGCCTGGGCAACACAGTGAGACCCCATCTCTACAAAAAAATGAAACAATGAGGTGGGCTTGGTGGTGTGTGCCTGTAGTCCCAGATACTTGGGAGGCTAAAGCTGGAAGATTGCTTAAGCCCAAGAATTCAAGACTGCAGTGAGCTATGATAGAACCACTGTACCCCAGCCTAGGTGACAGAGCAAGACACTGTCTCTAAAATAAATATATGAATAAGTCATTGAACGTTCCCAACACAAAAAAATAAAAGTTTGAGATGACGAATATGCCAATTACCCTGATCTGATTACTATACATTCTATGTATTAAAACATCACTATGTGTGGCACATGTATGTACAATCATTGCCAATTTAAAATTTTTTTAAGTACAATGAAACGTAAATAAGAAAAATATAGAATATTGTCCGATAGTGTTAAATGCTAAGCAGAATATAAAGTATTAAAGGGGCCGGGCGCAGTGGCTCATGCCTGTAATCCCAGCACTTTGGGAGGCCGAGGTGGGCGGATCACAAGGTCAGGAGATCGAGACCACGGTGAAACCCCGTCTCTACTAAAAATACAAAAAATTAGCCGGGCGCGGTGGCGGGCGCCTGTAGTCCCAGCAAATTGGGAGGCTGAGGCAGGAGAATGGCCTGAACCCGGGAGGCGGAGCTTGCAGTGAGCCAAGATCCGCCACTGCACTCCAGCCTGGGTGACAGCACCAGACTCCGTCTCAAAAAAAAAAAAAAAAAAAAGTATTAAAGGGAGACAGGCCATTGTGGGGTAAGAAACTGCTATTTATTTTATTTTATTTTATTTTATTATTTATTTTATTTATTTTATTTTATTTTATTTCAAGACAGAGTCTGGCTGTGTTGCCCAGGCAGAATGCAGGGGTGTGATCTCAGCTCACTGCAACCTCCACCTCCTGGGTTCAAGCGATTCTCTTGCCTCAGCCTCCCGAGTAGCTGGGATTACAGGCGTATACCACCACACCTGGCTAATTTTTGTATTTTTAGTAGAGACAGGGTTTCGCCATGTTGGCCAGGCTGGCCTCGAACTCCTGACCTCAAGTGATCCACCCGTCTCAGCCTCCCAAAGTGCTGGGATTACAGGCTTGAGCCACCGCGCCCCAATTTTAAATAGGGTGGTCAGGGAAAGACTCACTGAGAGCAAAACCTGAAGGCAGTTAGGAGTAAGCCATGTGGATGTCTGCAGGCATGTTCCATGTACAGGGGGCAGCAAGTGCAGGAACCCTGAGGCAGGGGCATGTGGTATGCAAGGGCTGCCCTGAGGGGAAGAGAGGGGATGGGGTTAGGAACAGCCCAGGCTGAATCTCCAAGGCCAAGTCTGAAGGGCTCTGAGCTTGGTGAAGAAGGGGGAACGATTGTCCAGGTGTGTGAGCCAGGGCTTTAAGGGTAGTGTTTCTGACTTCCCAACTTTTTTTTTTTTTTTTTTTTTTTTTAAAGACAGGGTCTGCTCTGATGCCCAGGCTGGAGTGCGGTGGTGCGATCACAGCTCACTGCAGCCTCAAACTCCTGGGCTCAAGTAATCCTCCTGCCTGAGCCTCCGGAGTAGTAGCTGGGACTACAGGCACACGTCATCACACCTGGCTAGTTTTTAAATTTTTTGTAGAGACGGAGTGAGCCACCACTGTACTCTGTCCGGTCTGACTTCCCACTTTTGCCGAGATCGAATCTTTCACCACCATTTCATTAAGGTGTACCTCAGCCCTGACTAGGGCTCAAAGGGAGGGAGGACAAGGCTCGGAAAGGGGAGAGGATTCAATGGGAGGAGGGGGGACTCCTGGGAGGGGAGAGCAGCTTAGCTAAAGTCATGCAGGCTCACGGCCAGCGATGGGAACTGGAGGGAGAGCTGGAGAGGAATTTGAGCTTAGTTAGGCTTAAAGGCACCTTTTGGGTACCTTTGCAGGCAGTCCCTGGCTTCTGGGCCCAGCACCTCCTGGGCTGGACAACCCCACCGCCCGGACTCAGGCCGAGCCTGTGCGACGTGTGTGCCGGACGAGCAGAGCAGCAGGTGCGCGGCTCCTGCAAACAGCCGCGGCCACGCCCACCGTGGCCCTCCCCGCCCCGCTGTTCCGGGGTGATTGGCAGCGCCCCCATCCCCACGCGGCCAGTGCCAAAAGAGCCCAAAGTGGTGAGGAGGGAGAAGCCCTGTCAAATTCTTTGGGATTTGCACCCCAAGCCCCTGACGCATCTCATCCTCGTTTTTACCCTGGAGAATTCATTCCCGAGCAGAGAGGGACAAGGACCGAGGGCCGAGGGCCGGGGGCGGTGGCAGGTCCCGCCCTTCCTTGGCAACTCCCCTACCTCGGCGTTGTGGCCTGCGCGGGGCCAAGTCCTTCCTCCCAGGACGCTCGGTGAAGGTGGGAGGCAGGGGCCACGTCACTGTCCCCAGGCCCTGGAGAGCGCTGCTCCGCCCCTCCCGCCCCCAACGGAGCGCTGGGCACTTAGCTAAGACGCACCGGCCCCAGCCCAGGGCCAGCCCAGTCGCCGCCGCCCGCCCACAAAGCCACAGGCAGGTGCAGGCGCAGCCGCGGCGCTAGTGTGTGGAGCCCAGCCGTTAGCGCGCGCCGTCGGTGAGTCCGTCCGTCCGTCCGTCTGTCCGTCGGGGCGCCGCAGCTCCCGCCAGGCCCAGCGGCCCCGGCCCCTAGTCTCCCCGCACCCAGAGCCACCCAGTGAAGCAGGCTTTGCCGCGGCAGCCATGTCCATGGGCCTGGAGATCACGGGCACCGCGCTGGCCGTGCTGGGCTGGCTGGGCACCATCGTGTGCTGCGCGCTGCCCATGTGGCGCGTGACGGCCTTCATCGGCAGCAACATCATCACGTCGCAGACCATCTGGGAGGGCCTGTGGATGAACTGCGTGGTGCAGAGCACCGGCCAGATGCAGTGCAAGGTGTACGACTCGCTGTTGGCGCTGCCGCAGGACCTGCAGGCGGCCCGCGCCCTCATCATAGTGGCCATCCTGCTGGCCGCCTTCGGGCTGCTAGTGGCGTTGGTGGGCGCCCAGTGCACCAACTGCGTGCAGGACGACACGGCCAAGGCCAAGATCACTATCGTGGCGGGCGTGCTGTTCCTTCTGGCCGCCCTGCTCACCCTCGTGCCGGTGTCCTGGTCGGCCAACACCATTATCCGGGAATTCTACAACCCCGTGGTGCCTGAGGCGCAGAAGCGCGAGATGGGCACAAGCCTGTACGTGGGCTGGGCGGCCGCGGCGCTGCAGCTGCTGGGGGGCGCGCTGCTCTGTTGCTCGTGCCCCCCGCGCGAGAAGAAGTACATGCCCACCAAGGTCGTCTACTCCGCGCCGCGCTCCACCGGCCCGGGAGCCAGCATGGGCACAGCCTACGACCGCAAGGACTATGTCTAAGGGACAGACGCAGGGAGACCCCCCACCTTCACCACCGCGAGCTGGAGCGCGCACCAGGCCATCCAGCATGCAGCCTTGCCTCGGAGGCCAGCCCACTCCCAGATGCCAGGAAGCTCCCTCCCGCGCAGGACTGGGAGGGGGCGGCTCGAGAACTCTTCCCCAGCAGCCACCAATTTTCGGGCCAGGGAGTCGACTTCCGGGCCCAGGGACCAACCTGCATGGACTGTGAAACCTCACCATTCTGGAGCAGGGGGCCTGGGTGCCCGCCAATACTTGACCGCCCCGTCGAGCCCCATCGGGCCGCTGCCCCCATGCTCGCGCTGGGCAGGGACCGGCAGCCATGAAAGGGGGCACTTGATATTTTTCAATAAAAGCCTTTCGTTTTGCACTCGCTGGAGCCTCCTTGTTCCGAGCGCCCCCACCTCCCTGCAGAGCGCCCCCTCGGGGCGGCCTTGGCTGGATCTCGCTCTCCCAGACGGAGCTTAGAGGGAAGGTGGGGGGTTGTAAACTGAGCTCGGTGATCACAGAGTGGTCACTCGCCCGCTCCCGGGGGATTCGGAAGGCAGCCTGTGCGGCCAAAGCCAAGGTCCAATCTAGGAAGCAGGCATGCGCACTTCCCGCCCCTAGGTCTGTGCTGGGAGCCGACAATACCCCACTTATTCATGGCTCGGGATGGGAGGGGGAAGGTGGCAGAGATGTGCCCGTGGGTCTGTGCTGGGAGCCGACAATACCCCACACATTGGGAATCTCCCGTGCGCCTTGTGAAAGAGTGCATTCCGTACTGCCATTTCCTACTGGAAAAAAGAAAACAAAAAGACCTATTGTTTGGATAAAACACGCTACCAAAAGTAAAATCGGGCCAAATCTTCTCACCTGGGGGAGAGATGAGAAAGGGGCCCTATCTCCTTCCTAGGAACCTCAAGGGAGGGAAAGAGAGAGGACTTAGAAGGCGCATCTCAGAGGGGCTTGAGGCCGGTGCTCGCTGGCTCACTCCCAGAGGACGAGGTGGGAGGCTCACTTGAGCCCAGGAGTTCGAGACCAACCTGGGCTACATAGCAAGACCCCATCTCTACCAAAAAAATATATATATATACATATATATATATATATATATATATATGGCTGGGTATGATGGCATACACCTGTGGTCCCAGCTATTCAGGAGGCTGAAGCAGGAGGATGGTCGAGGCTACCTGAGCTATGATTGTGCCACTGCACTCCAGCTGGAGCCAACAGAGTGAAACCCTGTCTCAAAAACACAACGACAAAACACACACACACACACACACCCCAGAGGTGTGGTTGAGGTAAACAGTGTGGAGAGGCACTGGTGCCTTGGAGAAAACACAGGAGATTCAGGCAGCAAAAGGGGCCTAAGCCCAGGCAGGGCGACTTGGTGGGGGCGAGATTCAAATGACTGGATGGAACACAACCGGAGACAGGAAGTATCAATGAAGCCCAGGAGTCCAGCAGAGGCCAAGTCGTGGAGAGTCCTGTATGTGGGATTACGAACTTTGAAACGTACTCTGGGTGTAAGGAGTCATGAAAGGGGAAGTACCTGGTCACATACTTTTAACCTCTCCAGCAGCCCCTGCGGAACTGCGACTCAAGGAGAACGATAAAGGAGGGGAACCACCTAACAGGATATGCCGCCATCTTGGAGTGAAATGATGGTGGTCAGAAATTAGGCAGGGGCAGGGAGTGGGGACAGAACCTGAAGGGTGTTGTTAAAGTGGGCAGGACCCGGGAGCCATTTGGTTATGCAGGGTGAGAGAGGTGAGAATCTAGCAAAGAAGACTGGAATCTGGGAGTTTCCACCTTAGGTCACTGATCGGATAGTGGTACATTTACCAAAATAGGAGACCAAGTTTCTCAGGGAAGATGATGGGTTCCATTTTGAGTGTATAGAGTTTGGTGAGGCCGGGACGTGGTGGCTCAGGCCTGTAATCCCAGCACTTCGGGAGGCCAAGGCTGGAGGGTAACTGGAGCCTAGGAGTCTGAGACCAGCCTGGGTAGCATAGTGAGACCGCATTTCTACAAAAAATTTAAAAATTAGCTAGATGTGGTGGTGCATGCCTGTAATCCCAGCTACATGGGAGGTTGAGGTGAGAGGTTTACTTGAGCCCAGGAGATTCAGGCTGCAGCGAGTCAAGACTGCACCACTGCAATCCAGCCTGGGCGACAGAGTGACATCTTGTCTCAAAAAAATAAATAAATAAAAATAAATAAATAAATAAATAAATAAATAAAAATAAATGTAGAGTTTGGCAAGCCTGGAGAACGTCCTGGCAGAGACGTCCACGAAGTAGGATGACGTCTAGAGATCTCGTAAACCTGGAAGTCCTTAGCATAGGGATGGCAACCGAAACCAGGGTAGGGGAAGAAGTCAGTCTAGAAACTCACAGAACAAAAAGAGTTTCAAGGAGGTGGGCGTGGGCAACAGTGTCTGAGGCTGCAGGAGTGGTCAGGCAAGATGAGACCTGAGGAATAGCCGCGGAATTCACAGTAGCCAGGTGGTCATTGGTGGCCTTAGCGAGAGGCATGGAAACGGAAACACTAGATGGAAAAGGGAGTGGGAGGCGAGAGTTGAAACGGGGAGCTGTAGACAATGTGTGCAAGAGATTTGCATAGAAAAGGAATTGTGGCTGGGAGCAGTGGCTCACGCTTGTAACCCCAGCACTTTGGGAGACCGAGGCTAGGCCACGTTCGGGGGTAGCTTGAGCCCAGGAGTTTAAGACAAGCCTGGCCAACATAGTGAAACCCCAGCTCTACTAAAAATACAAAAATTAACCAGGCGTGGTGGTGGGCACTGTAGTCCCAGCACTTTGGGAGGCTCACTTGAGGTCAGGAGTTCGAGACCAGCCTGGCCAACATGGTGAAACGCTGTCTCTACCAAAAAGATTAAAAATTAGCCAGATGTAGTGGCACATCCCTGTAATCCCAGCTACTTGGGAGGCTGAAGCAGGAAAATCACTTGAACCCAGGAGGAAGAGGTTGCAGTGAGCTGAGATCGCACCACTGTGCTCTAACCTGGGAAACAGAGAGAGACTCTGTCTAAAAAAAAAAAAAGAAAAAAGAAAAAAGGCCGGGCACAATGGCTCATCCCTGTAATCCCATCACTTGGGAGGCTGAGGCGGGTGGATCACAAGGTTGAGATCAAGACCAACCTGGCCAACATGGTGAAACCCCATCTTTACTAAAAATACACAAAAATTAGCCGGGTGTGGTGGTGGACGCCTGTAGTCACAGCTACTCAGGAGGTTGAGGCAGGAGAATCACTTGAACCCAGGAGGTGGAGGTTGCAGTGAGCCGAGATTGTGTCACTGCACTCCAGGCTGGCGATAAAGCAAGACTCCCTCTCAAGAAAAAAAAAAAAAAAAGTAGGGGGGAATTGTGGCCGGGGGCAGTGGTTCATGCTTGTAATCCCCACACTTTGGGAGGCCGAGGCAGGAGGATCACCAGATGTCAGGAGTTCAAGACCAGGCTGTTCAACATGATGAACCAGTTGCAATGAGCTGAGAGCTCACCACTGCACTCTAGCCTGGGCAGCAGAGCGAAACTCTGTCTCAAAAAAAAAAAAAAAAAAAAAAAAAGATAAATAAATAAATATTTTTAAAAACGTTTTTGGCTGCAGCAAAGCTAAAGCAAAAAGGGCAAAAGATCCCTGTGGCAGCTAGCTGGGACTACAGGCACACACCACCATGTCCAGCTAATTTTTTTTTTTTTTTTTTTTTTTTTTTAATGAGACAGTCTTGCTCTTGTCACCCAGGCTGGAGTACAATGGTGCCATCTTGATCTGGGCTCACTGCAACCTCCACCTCCTGGGTTCAAGCAATCCTCCTGCCTCAGCCTCCTGAGTAGCTGGGATTACATATGCCCACCACCATGCCCGGCTGATTTTATTATTTTTTGTATTTTTAGTAAAGGGGGTTTCACCATGTTGGCCAGGCTGGTCTCAAACTCCTGACCTCAGGTGATCTGCCTGCCTCAGCCTCCCAAAGTGCTGGGATTACAGTCATGAGCCACTGTGCCTGGCCAATTTTTGTATTTTTTATAGAAATAGGGTCTCACCATGTCGCCCAGGCCACTTTCAAATCCCTGGCCTCAAATGATCCTCCTGTTTCGGCCTCTGAAAGTACTGGAATAACAGGCATGAGCCACCGCACACAGCCTAGATTTCATGACAGAACATTCCACTTAACTCCAGAAATTTCCCCTCCAAGTAAGAAACACCAATGTGTAGTCACCCCGATGATCCAAGGAAGAGGAAGTGGGTTACTATTAATAGCAAGTGAGGCTGGGTGTGAGGCTGGGTGTGGTGGCTCATGCCTGTAATCCCAATACTTTGAGATGTCAGTGCAGGTGGATCACCTGAGGTCAGGAGTTCAAGACCAGCCTGGCCAACATGGTGAAATGCCGTCTCTACTAAAAATACAAAAAATTGGCCGGGCGCAGTGGCTCACGCCTATAATCCCAGCACTTTGGGAGGCCAAAGCAGGCGGATCACGAGTTCAAGAGATCGAGACCATCCTAGCTAACACAGTGCAACCCCGTCTCCACTAAAAATAGAAAAAATTAGCCGGGTGTGGTGGCAGGTGCCTGTAGTCCCAGCTACTCAGGAGGCTGAGGCAGGAGAATGGCATGAACCCGGGAGGTGGAACTTGCAGTGAGCCAAGATCGCGCCACTGCACTCTAGCCTGGGCGACAGAGCGAGACTCCATCTCAAATAAATAAATAAATAAATAAATAAATACAAAAAATTAGCCGGGTGTGGTGGCTGGCACCTACTCAGCTACTCCAGAAACTGAGGCAGGAGAATCACTTGAACCCAGGAGGCAGAGATGGCAGCCAGCACTTTGGGAGAGGCCAAGGTGGGCAGATCATGAGGTTGGGAGATTGAGACCATCCTGGCTAACATCGTGAAACGGCATCTCTACTAAAAATACAAGAACAAAAAATTAGCCAGGAGTGGTGGCGGGCACCTGTAGTCCCAGCTACTTGGGAGGCTGAGGCAGGTGAATGGTGTGAACCCGGCAGACGGAGTTTGCAGTGAGCTGAGATCACACCACTGCACCCCAGCCTGAGTGACAGAGTAAGACTCTGTTAAAAAAAAAAAAAAAAAGTACCTTCACTTTATGATAGTAAGTGTAGCTTTGCTTGGTCGGTCTCTGTAAGATTCTAAGAAAGGACTGGGTGTTTGGATTACTCTCTCCTCAGCAGATTTCCCTTTGGGAACTGCTCTTCTAGTCTCTGGAGGGAGTCAGGGAGAGTGAAACTGATTATGCAGGCACCAGGAATGATTGATGGAGATGGGTCCTGGAGAGAGTTTGAGAAAGGGGATGAAGGCAGCCTGGGCAACATAGTAAGACCCCAACCCTATAAAAAAAT